GTGATTGATAGGGCTAAAATGTTTTCTAGTGTTGAAATACAGGGCTGTCAGGTAGGTTGGTAACCGTGTCTGCTGCTGTGTTGTTTTCACTTTAAAAACTAATCATGATAGTAGGGGGAATAAAACCATGTTCCACACTATATATAGTATATTGGATTGGAAAACTGGTAAGGGATCTGGGATACTGTTTGTCTTACTACTGTAGCTTCAAAGGCAAGACTCTGCAGTATGTGACATGACTGCATGGGGTAAAAATGTATTTCTCTTACTAGAGAAATGGCTCTATTTCTGCTGAGCTTCAACAGAATGTGTGATCTCGATCCACCTGTAAGTTATTGTTTCTTCCATGTGCTTAACAAACATAGCGACCATATTTTTCGTGGTTCATTTATTTTACTTGTTTCAATAGAATTGTACTAAATAAAGAGATTAAAAAATATCTCAGGCTGAGGTTTAACTTCAGCACTTCTTGTCGGTCTCTTCTGGGAGAGCCAGGATAGGAGAAGAGGGAGGGGGCAGTTGTGAGGTGGGAGGAGGTAGCGACATAGCCTCTGTTTTTCTTTCCTCCCTTTCCAAACTGTGTGCTTATTGCCAGGTTTACTTGAATGCCCCAAACATGGTTAATGGTCATCCTTGGACCTTCTAATCTGGTCTCAGTGTGTTGATGGCATTGTACCAAGCTTACAAGTGCTGAGCTTTGTAGGGCCCGAGGCAGAAGTCTCCTTACCAAAAAAGTGTCTGAAAGCAAAAAGCCGTCACTTAGGCTGATAATTTATTTCAAAGCTAAACAGAGTCACTGCTAAATAAACCTATGTCTCATCTAAATGTGTCTGGTTTCACTTTCTAGCCACAGATCTCTTTAATGCCTTTGTCAGTCAGAGTAAAGTTCTTTAAAAATTATTTCAACCATGACTGGTGGTGATAGCTGATTATTCTTCAGATAAAACAGACATTTCAGAAGAGTTCCTTCACTCTTCACAATAGTGTGTCTGGGCACATTGATGGAAGGAAGGAAGACTTTTACATTTTCCAGATCATTAGTATAGGTTCTCCACTTTCTTTGCAGTATTGATTTGTCTCATTTCCTGAATAATTAGTTCACAATTGATAGTTATTTGCTGTACTCTGATGCTAGAGACCTCTGTTCAAGAAGGTGGATTCCTGTTATCATGTGCTTTTGGCAGAAGAATTTCTTTATTCTGTTCTGCAGATTTGACAGGGAGGGAGTTGTAACATAGTACTGCATAGCAAACCTCAAAATATTTCCTATAATTTATCTAGCCAAAACATCTGATATAACCAGTCCTTTTACTATTTTAGTGAGGGTGGAGGGAAATAAAGAGAATAGTTCAAAAAGCCTAGTCATTCCCTCCTGCCCTCGTTTGGTATGTGGGGTTTTATTGCTGCTTGTGAATTCCCCTGCCTTTTTTTTTATTTCATGGAGAACATGATGTCTGGTTAATACTCAGGCTGGCTGTATCTTAGCCTTGGTACAGGTTGGCTCAATGCTTGTATAGAAACAGTCCTGTAGATTTTCTGTAATGCATAATTATTTCGACATGGACATTTAGGCTACTTTAAGATTTCAGTGGGATCACAGAAATATTTGTGTACCTTTATCATCTTTGGAGAGTTTTTTCTGGATTATTTATGCAATGTGCGTTTGAAAAGTAGTATGGGATAAACTAGACCTCAGAAATTTTGTTTCAGCTGCTCTCCCACAAAAAGGTAAATACAACAATTGAATAACCCAGTGATTCTGTGGCCATTAGGATGATCTTTTTAAATGTCCAACTGCAGAACAAATTCATTTTGTATAGTTCCATGAAGAATTAATGATATTAATTGTTGAATGATGAAAATGCAGAAGTAGCAGTTCTATGTATGCGCATAGATGTCATAGAACACTTAATGTATTTTAAGTGAATTATGTCATAATCCTAGTGGCTAGGATAAACAAACTAGTATCCAAGTGAGCTATAAGGGGAGAGATTTGATCCCAGCATGAATTAAGAACACAAAATGGGCAGGAATTGTTAGTAGATTGTATTTATGTGGTTATCCCGCAGTTCTTAAGAACACAAGCATTTATTTCATGTGAAGATGGGGAGAGTAATCATAAGTGCACTTTCTGTGAAGAAACTTAGTTCCAGAAAATTTTAGAATTTAGTATGGTGGTCTAAATGAGCTGAATTATAATTTATTTTTAAACAATAGAAGTAATATGAAAGAAAATGAGCAATACTGAAAGATCTCTTGAGTATTGTGGGGTAAAAGCTAGAAACCGAAAGATATTAAAGGTTCTTTGTTCTCCGTTTCTGAACCAAAAGTATTGCTTTGCTACCAACAGAACTGATTCTTACAAGACTGAAGAGACTCGTTCTGCACAATGCTGCCATGGAATGTATTGAAGTACTGATCAGTTCATAACACATACGCAGTAATGCCGGGAATATGCTACACAATATTGCATGCAATATACAACATCGCTTTCAAAGCTTGTATACAAGCACAGCTGCTTTGTATGTTACAAAAAAAACCCCACATATTTTTATGAGGGGAAACCTAAACTAGACTGCATTTGTGCGGCAACAGTTTGTGTGCACACGTGCACTGTGCTCTATGCAAAAGGAATCCTTCAGTTTCGCTGCATATGAGCTGCATTTAAGAATGACCTGGGTGACTGTTCTTCAGAACTGGACTGTCTGAGAGATTAAATAAAAATACTTTCATAGCTGCTTCATCCATTTTCATAGGTTTTATTCTATTTATTATTGGCTTCTTTTACAGACAGTCATAATTTAGACTTAGATTTGCGGCTGACTTAAAATTTGTGGTCATTAATCAGCTACATTTAATTGGAGGTTTCTGTATGCTGGGGGAGCAGAAGAGGTGTGTAAAAATGCAGATGGTGTAGGTCAGTATGTAAGAGTTTGTATAGATTCTGAGATGAGGTATTTAGTGTTCTCCAATTACATCTGCTGTCTAACTCTTCAGAGGCCTAGTCAACAAGAAAACTTACCATTACCAATAAATTACATCCTTCTCTTCAGAGATTAGGTAGAAGAACCGTGGGGTTGGGGGTGGTGTCTTTGGGTAGAGTGAAGGGATCTAGTGAACGCAGAATCTTTAGAAGAGGTTAGTGTTGGAATACTGTAGAGTAATACTGAGCTACTAAAAAAAGCCTTAGTAAATCATTATGGGGTAATGAGGTTACTGACTTTTGTTTTCAAGGAGGAGAAGAAAACTGAATGCTTCTAGATCTACTTGGAATAGTTACTGTGCAGTGATGAATGAGTGGAAAGTGGCAGACCTCTATATATAACATGCTTACACTAGAGAAAGATGGCAGCAAAAAACGTGAGGACAAGATGAATCTCTGATTTGTTGCCTGTTGTGAAATGGGAGTGGTAGGCATATTGTGGACTGAAATCACGTTATTTCACTGCTAACTTCTGAAATTGGCAAAGAGAACTTGTCTGTAGCAGGAGAACAACTTTTCCAGTAGTGGAAAAAAACTGTCATTCTTACAAAGCTGGTTTTTTGAGTCTGACCGCTGGTAATCCTTTGTTTTGTTCTTCTGCGGGAGACAGCGGAATGTAAAGACTTCATGGTTTAGCCAACCTGAGCTTTCATTATACTACATCAGTCTTCTAAATAGAGACTGGATGCTAAAACCAGTCTGTGCTTTAGTTGTGGTATAGTTAGTATGTTCTCCGCTGTGAGGGTTAGGTTTTGGAAGACTCGTGAGGCTCAGCTTACCTGAAGAAGTCATGCCGTCTGACAAGGAATGGTTGACTGTAATCTATTCTATGCAATCGTTCTGTGTGACCCTAATTTGTTATGCTAAATGGTTGTCTGTTGCAATTTTGTTTCACTGTGTGATAGCGTGTATAGTTTGTTATCTTTTGACTGAAATGCTAATCTGGGTAGTCCTGTTTATAACAGCCACTCCTCTGGAACACTTCACATTTCCACTTGTTTAGTAGACTAGAGAAGGGCATCTCTTTATTGACAAAAAAGCAGTCTTCTGACCAGATGGGAAAGCTGCAAATTTTCCTCATCTTTATCCCCGGTTGTTCACCTTGTGAGCCAGAGGAAGAGAGGGGAACAACTTTTAAGAGGAAGGAGGCATGTAGCCATCAAGTGCCTGGCTTCTACTGCCAGCAGTACTTGAAACTGCTTTTTCAAATGAGTTTTATATGTAGACCAACTGAGAATGCAGGCTGCACAGATTGCCTTTACTATCAAAATACGGTATTGCATAGAGTTTTCAAAAGGCAGGAGAAAGAAGAAACCAAGGTAGATTGCCTTTATTCTAAACATAGAAAGCTTTTTGCATTGACAGTGCATCATATTCCTGTGGTGAAGAATATTCCACTGTAAGTCATCTCTATCTGAGGAGAAAACACAGGGAAATGCACTGAAAGGCTTTTCATATAAATAAACTTCAAACTCTAGTTTATGTCCTAAAATGTTGCATTTCATCCTCTTTCAGTAAGCAAAAGAGGAACAGATCTTGTGCAGAAGGGTAGTTCAGGATTAATCTTGCAATCAAGAGTTTTTTAATAGTAGTTAGCACATAGTCTTTGATTTGGAGTCTCACAGAACTTAAGCAAGTGATATAGCGGAGTGGGGTCAGGGATGTGACAGGACTTTTTTTTGCAACCTGATTTTTCCAAAATCTTTTGAAGTGTTACTTACTGTCATTTTACTTTAACTTGAGGAAGCAGTAAGGGTTTCATTCTGGCATTGGCTGAATAATTTTTCTGTGTGCTTTTTCTGTTTGTCCTTTATCCGGTCTTTGTATATGAATCCATTTTGAAAGTGAAGAGCTGATTTTTTTTCCAACAAGGAGATAAAACTACTGGCATAGATGAAAAATATATATGAAGCAAAATCTTGGTCTTCATTCCTTATCCTTAATAGATAAAAGTTTAGTTTCTTCCCCCTGCCTTAATCTACAGTTGTGTGTCCAAAGTAACGAGAGAATTTATGTCTCGATGTCTACCGAATGGGAGCTTCATTAAAGTGATGTAGATGAGTCTTACTTGAACTGAATTGTGCTGACTTGGTGGTTCCTTCCTTGGGATGCCTTATATAATTTTTAAAATCACTCTTAATTCTTTTATTACTTACATTATTGGAATTTTTAAAGGCTTTGTTCTGTAAGCAGACAGAACAGGACCTGTCAATATTTGTCTGTGACCGCATCCTGCAAAAACATGACTAGTTAGTCCTGTTGAGACTTTTTTTTTTTAAGATGAGCTCAGAATTTTCTAATGAAATTCATACACTGAGTTAAAAAGCTTTGTGATTTGAGTGTAAGCGTCATGTGAACAAACAATAAATGAAAATAGCTAAGCAAATGGCAATTAAAACATGGACAATAACTTTCAGTCATGAGGTATTGTCGGTGTTGTTTTCAGATGTGCAGCGGGAAAAGCTCTCAATTGTTCTTAAGTCGGCTGGTAACTGAATCCACCTTTGTAGAGCTTGACAACAAAAGGCTTTTTGTTCACAATTTGTATTCATCTAGGACATGCCAATTACTGAGCATAAATAGAACATAGTGTATGAGCCGGCCAATATAACATGTTGCTCAATTTGTGACTTACCAGAAATCCATAATTTATATTAAAATAGTTAGAATTACAGGTAGAGGCCGCTTGTCGGTGGATTTTAGATTTCTGCACGAACGAGCATGATGTAATTACTTTGAGGAAGCACACACTGCTGTATTTGATGTGGCAGCAAGACGTGCAACCCAGGCAAAACTCTTTCTGAATATTACTTGCAATCATATCATTAATTTAGTGAGGCAATACTGACTCGGGCAAAGCCAGTGGGTGCTCGATAAAAGAAGCAACAAGACCTTTTTATTCCTGCTGTTTGCAAATAAAGCATACTAAAGAAAATTACTGTAATGCTTTGCCCAACATTTTTCAATTCCACCAAGCTTTGTTATCAGTGTAGTTGTATGACCATATGTGATTTGCATGTCAAGTAAGCATGACTGACTTTCTCTGCTGGGCCATTCAGCAGCCAGCATCTTCTTATTGTCGATGTGATACTTGGGCCTCCCATGCTCTTTACAAGAATCAGCATGCTTTTTGTAGGCTTTTTGAGCACAGGTGGAACTGTAGGTTCGGCATGTACAATTTTACTGATATATTTCTGTTCATTGCATAGTGGGAACAAAAACCTGGTTAAACAGGGACTGACCTGAAAGAACAGAAATAAATAACATTTGGTAAAGCACACATTCTCCGCCCCTCTGCATAATGTTTGTAATTGCGTTAACTGTGCAAGTCACGTTCTTGAATAAGATGTGTCCAAAGACGAAAGTGTAATGGTTCCCAAACTATATGAAATGCATTGAGGTGGTGGGTGTGACTTGATAAACAGGCATGTCATTTTAAGTTGTTGGCTCGGGAATTTTTTGTGGAGTATGGAACAGAAACTTTGAGGTTTTTTTTTCCATTTGAGAAGTGTGTGAGCGTTCTTGCTAGTGGAAAGGTATGCGTGTGGGGAAAGCACTGAAAAAGGATAAACGGCAGATTTTAAGTTCTTTGCCAGTGTGGGGTTCTTATGTTGGTCACTGGTTTAAACTCCTGTTATATTAAGACTATGTTCCTTTTCTGCCCTTTTACAGGTAGCGGTGCTACAGCAGTTGTCCAGGCAGCACTATGCAAACCCAGGCAAGAACGCGTAGCAATAAAGAGGATCAACTTAGAAAAATGCCAAACCAGTATGGATGAATTACTTGTAAGTAAATCGGAGGGGAACATGTTACATGGAGACTATGTACTGTTTGGATTTTGGTTTTCGCTTGGTCCCAGAGTGAGGGTAGAATTTTATGCAGGATAATAGTGAGAAAAGGATTTGAAAATAATCTGCAAGAAGTATTCCCTTCTCCTAAAAATGTATTTTACTAATGTATATTTTCTAAGGCCACAAAAATAAGAAGTGCAAATTTGAATCTTGGGATAATCAACTATTGAGAACTGTGGGAAGAACCTTATCCCTTGCTTTCTGGGAGAGTCAGTTTTCAAGAGATCACTCTCTGATTGTCTGTCTTAATATTGAGGAAAGATACATTTTCCTTTGGTTAAAAACTGATTAAAAATATAAAGGTAAATTTAGTAGGTCTCCTTAAAATGTCTAAAGCACCAAAACACAGCAAAAACTAGTTGTTGTATCATTTTGTAATGATAACTTTGAGGGGAAATGTAGGAATGGCTACACTGCCATCTGCACAAGGAAACTCTTGTTAAGGCTAATAACACACATTTATCCGATAGGCCATAACAAGCCATTTGAGGAATGCTGTTTGTTTGGGTCACTGATCAGAGGAGGAAGGAACCTGTAGGAGTCCCTTTGTAAAAGGCACTGCAAGAGTTTTTCCTCTGCACTGGTTATGGCAATCCAGACAAAGTCACAAAGAACTGTTAGAAAACAAAACCTGTTGCTTTCTAATGCTCCTAGTCAGGTGCTTGTAAGACTAATGCATATTTATATATAGGCAGTATAATGAGATTTGAAGGACACAAAACCATTCTAAAAGTGAGAACACTCTCTTCTGTTCCACAGGTTATACTACTGCCTAGAGACTGTGAGCTTTTTCTAATGCAGAAATTCCTGCCTCTGAAGGAAATGATCTCCTCAGCAGGGAATTGCCAGTGCAAAAGATATCTTGAATTTGATACAGAGGGTATGGTCCATCCAGTTTCTTCAGATAAAATGGCTTGTTTACAGTGGAGGACCCAAAATGCTCTTCCCCTGGTGATTAATGGCACTCACCTTCAGTTTATGTAACAGCTTGTATGAGGCATGTTTTTTTTAAAAGAGGACTGTAGTAGTGGAAGCTGCCTCTGAAGTAGTGAGGCTTCTATCAACTAAAAACTCAAAAGATAAATTCTGAACTGTGTTTAGAAAGAGAACAGTCCAAGGTGAGATGCTGTGCATGATATATTAATGTCTACAGCCCATAAAGAACATTTCTATAAAACCAGAAATACTAATAATTGTAATATTAAATGGTCAAAATATGATCGTTTTTTATTAGAATTTGAACTAATAATGGGAATTAAAAAGTTACAACAAATAAAACCAGACAAAACTGCCAATTATCTCCAAGAGATATCCATATGGTCTAGAGAAATGACTGCAGTTAGTTACCAGCTTGTACAAAGTCACCTTAGCAAGTGCTTGAGTATCTTTATTGCTGATATGTCTCCACTGTCTGCCGAATAAGGCAATAGGTCTTGAATTTTTGGTCCCATATGCTTTCTTCTGGTATGAAGACAACTGTCCATACCATCTTTTTTATTTTTTAACAAGTCAATTTCTGCTTTTCTGTGTTCAGATTTTGTGTTTATTTTATTTGTTGATCTCTTTTGATCTGAACATAAATTCTGGCTTTCTGAGTTCCTATGTAGGAGGGTAAAAAAAAAAAAAAAAGCCCATGTATGATTCCTTTTATTTTTATATGTGCATACACACATGTGCACGTGTACACATACATAAGTAATTAATTTTATTTTTTCTGTGAGGGGAAGTATACTTACTCTGACTCGATTCTAATAGAGAAATTTTGAAATTTTATTTAAAAAATAGAAATGTTATTCTGTAAAAGGGCATAATTGACCTTCAAAACTCTTGTTACAACTGTACTACCATTTTTATGTCAGTTGATAATACTTAGAACGCTCTTGCATTTTGGGTTTTTTAATACTGTTTTTGAGTCTGCTTAGTTTTCAATCACTTATTTTTCCAATAGTTTCCATTGGCACAGGGATGTTCTAAAACTCTGTCTGCCCTCTGAACACGCTGTTTTGTAAAATCCTGCTGCTGATGCTTATGGATGGTGTGCAAAGGCACCCTTCACAAATTCTCAGCTGTGTGGCCTTCAGAGAAGTGGAAAATGCAGCAAGCCCGATGCCCACGTAAGCAGACTTTGGGCCAGTGTCAGTTAAAATAGAAAGGCAGTGGGGGAGGGAGTTTAAATAATACTAAGGTTACACAAACTGCCAAACTCCTGAAATTCAATACTCTGTTTCCTGCAATGTCCTGTGTTCTCACTATTGTAAGCTAAATGTAACTTAACCCCATGAGCCAAGTAAGAAGTTCCTGTCCTTAGTATTATCCTCACTGGGTATCTTCTCCCATCCCCTTACCTCCAGTTTTTTAAAACAAACAAAAACCTCAGCACTACAATCCAAAGAATATTCTACAGAATGGCTTATTTGATTGAATAGGTTTTCAAAACTGTTTGCATTTCCGCTCTGGATAGCGCTTCAGTGCAGGCTCTCTGGAGGAGCCCCTCATGTGTTATGCCCAACCCCTCCAACAGCCATACCCTGGGTGTCCGTGGAGGAGGCCCCGGGGAAGCACCTACAGAGCTGTGGCACGTGGCTGGTCACTGGGATCTGGACCCGGCCCTGTGGGCACTGCGGCTGAGCACCAAAAGGAGCTGTCTCGCAGTTGTTTATTAACTGTGTCACCCACCTGCCCTTAGGCCAACACACATTTTTGTGCAGCTGCTCGGTGAAACTGGAGCAGGAATAACCTGGCCGAAAAGAAGTTAGCTTTTAACCTGGGCGTATTTCCTGATGTAGTGCACACTTACGCTTGCACAAGGGAGGGAGAAGCAGAGGGATGAGGGAGAGACTTTAAATTTTAAGTGCCACTATGGCTTTGGTGCTGTTGAATATCTGGAGTGATGTGAATATGAACAATGTTCTGGGGCATTTTCGTGGATGTCCTGCTGCTAGCTTTTCCTCTGACAGTGTGACCACAGTCAATTAGCTACATATCTGCACTGTTAACGTGTGAGTAAAATAGATGAGGTGTATTTTTGCCCAGTAGTGGCAGGTGAACTTTTTGAGCCATCTTTATATTACCAGCATAGGAAAAGAATAAAACAATATAAGAAATGAAATAGTAATAGAGTGGGAGAGTTACAGTTAAGATTTGGTATGGATAGCTGAATTAACAACCTGAGGCAGTAATTTGAGTTGTGTTTAAGCTGACGTGCCTGCTCCGAAAGGGAAATGTGCCACACATATTTTTTTCTGTTTTCAACCTACTGTCTCCCAGGGGAGGGGTGGGAGGGAAAACTATTTTGCAAATTGCTCAGTTATTCAGGCTCATTGCATGATTATCCAGGCATTCATCCTTCTGTGGTTCAGGGCTCAGAAGTTGTCTAGGGAGGAGGACTTTTGACAATAGGACTAGCTGAAGTGTATGTCAAACTACAGCCTGACTTAATAGTCACCAATGGGCACCACAAGATTAAATCCCAGTCTTTAATACCTGTAATTAACTTTTTATTAGAAAGTGGCTGTGATCTCAAGTACATTGCAAATAACAACAGCAAAAAAAACCCTCTTTGAAAGACTTGCTGAATTGAGGTTGAAAGTTGAAAATGGCATCTGTGGCAGGTTTAATCGATCTAAACGGGACTGCCAAAGTGCCTGCTTTGGGCCAGGGTTGGTGAGTCAGTGTGTAACACAGGTCCACCTGAAAGCAGTTGCTTTTCAGGGAGAAAGGGGAGGTCGAAGAGTTTGGTTTTTAGCTGAATTGGCTCCCTGACTGGCTCACCCTCCAGGAGCATGTCCTCTAGCGCCAGGGATGGATCAGGGTGGTGGGGAGGGCAAAGTAGGGTTGTGGGAGCTTAAGTTGGTGTGAGGCCAAACCCTCTGGTACAAAGCAGGCCTAAACGCCCCTATGTAAAGGATTGGCAGGATAATGAGAGCTGCCGGAAAGGTGTTACAGAACAATTATGTGAAAGAGTGAATAGAAAAAGGACTCCGTTTGAAATAACAGATACAAGGCAGTCATTCTTAATCTGTACAGCTGTGGCGTGTCATAGATGGTGTTACTTGGTAGTGCCACGTTGTGCATCTGTTGGTGACTGTGTGCTCCTCTAGTCAATTGTTTCCTCTGACTTTTGGTCTGTAACATTGCTTTTTCCTCTTGCCCTTCTGTTTGATTGCGTGGCTCTGGTGTCTGCCTGTCCATCCCACAGTAGCTGAGTCAGTGGTGCTGTGTCCTTTGTCCGACAGCTTCCTTCCTTTCCCACCTGCTCCCATTCTACTTTTTTCATATCCCTTTTGAACAGGAAAAGCAGTAGGTTTTGATCTTTCTTTATGTTTTGTTGTCCAGCCTGTACCTTCAGTTCTTGGAGACTGCTCATTCTTCATTGCTCACTCTGAATTTGGGACTTTAACAGTAATTTATTTGCTGCTCTCAGAAGAAAATTGATGTAGTTATGCCTGTATCTCCTGGCCAACCCCCCTTGTGTTGTTTGCAATATTGTCTTGCACAAAGATCTATAGGTAAACTAAAACGATTTGGTGCCTTGATGCGTATTCTCTGCATACTTCAGTTCTGTTATAGTATTTCACTTTGGAAATTAACTTTCTTTCTGTACAAACAGAACTGATAGCTGGCTTTGTTACGTTGGGCTTTGTATTTCTTACAGAAAGAAATTCAAGCAATGAGTCAATGCAATCACCCCAATGTGGTGACCTATTACACATCTTTTGTGGTGAAGGATGAACTTTGGCTGGTTATGAAGCTGTTAAGTGGGGGTAAGTTACTGGTTTTACTTGTTTAGCTGCAAGGAAATTGATTTTTTTCTGATGTACCTTCTTTGAGTTAATTGACCTAAACTAAGTAAGGGAGGGGGGGGAGGACAGAGGCTGCATCAGATGAACCTTGAGACATAGGTGTGTTATAGC